GGCCAGTTGGGGGTGAGGGGAAAGAGAGAGCAAGAGAGAGAGAGAGGACGAGAGAGAGAGAGAGGACAGAGGGCCCCTGTGGCTGTGCAGCCCCCTGCTGGCGGGGGGGCGTCATGGCGGGTGTCAGCCTCCGTGTGTGTGTGCTCTGTGCAGGAGGTGGTGAAGCTGCCGCTGGAGTTCGTGCGACAGCTGTCGATTAAAGTCCAGCAACAGAGACCAGGTGAGACCAAGAGATCCTGAGAGGGGAGGAATCCCCACAGAACAGTTATAATAATAATAATAATAACAACAACAACCTTTAACCTGCTTTTAAACCTTTAACCTTTAAAAGCAGCTTCTCAAAGCTGTACACAGAATAACAAGCCACAAGCAAATATGACGAGTAAGAGTTCATAAAAACATTAAGAAAGTAATATGAAACAATCATATAAAACATCAACAATCGAAAGCAACTTTAAAAAGGAGAAGAGACCCAGAACCAGGACACATCAGCTCTAAAAAATCCAACTTAACCTGCGATTTCCTCCAGTTAAAGCCCACTTTTTCCTATCAGTTTGATGCTTGTGAGCAAAAAGTCTAAAACGACCCCCAAAGTTTGAGTTTCTACTTCTCAGTGAAGCTGTTTTAGCTCCTAAACTCACGTTTCCACTGTCTGTAACATCTGCTGGAACAGAGCTCCTTTAGTGGAAATCAGAGCTGCTTCTGGAGGAGAAAAGCAGGAATTCAGAGTTTAAATTTGAACTTGCTACTATTTGATCTGAGATATTCTGATTTATTTTGAGTTCTTTTAGTAATTTGTATGATTCCCAAATTAATCTATGCAGATTGTCAGTCTTTTTTATGGAAAAACTATCAAGTTTGTATTATTTTAATATAAATATGATCCCATATTTTGAGAGAGAATACACCTTAAACTTCTGTCTGTAACATCTGCTGGATCAGAGCTCAGAGTCGGTGTGTGAGCACACACAGGTTTCTGTCAGAGTTTAAAACCAGAGCAGGAAGCCTCCAGCTGGGTTTCAGACCCAAACAGGAAGAGAAACCCGGTCAGGACTCAGAAACAGAAACAGACACCAGAGCTGAGTTCAGGAGTTCAGTTTAATGTGGGAACAAAGACAATAACGATGTGATGTCTGCTTTAAATGTTTGCCATTTGGTGGATTTTTGGGGAGATTTTTAGAGGAAAATAGGGAAGGCAAAGCAAGTTTATTTGTAAAGCAAATTTCATGTACAAGACAATTCAAAGTGCTTAACAGAGAATTTAAAAGCAGAAAAACAAGAAAAGAAAAATAATCAAAATTAGACAAATGAAAAGTGAAAGGTGCAGACAAAATACGTTCAATTTCCATCTGCCCAATTAGAAGTGTGGCACCAGGGCGACCATGAGCATTTTCAGTCTGGATTTAAACACTGTCTTTAGGAAGACTGGTCCAGATTTTAGGAGCATGGAGCTGAAATGAAGCTTCACCTTGTTCAGTTCTGACTCTG